CTACAATACTAACTGCTTATGCTCCCCTATTTGCTGATGTGCACATCCACTTTGGAGCAGAAAACTGTATAGCACTTACATATTTATCTATAAAAATAAAAAAGAACAAAACCTCAGTTAGAAGTATATATTTACTATTGATTTACTATTGATTTTCTATCAGCTATTTAGCGATGTTCTATTACAGTTGCACGCAAATGACAGGGCCACAAACTCTGCATTGGCCTGAGATTCAGCTAACTGAACGAAATGCAGAAAACTACCGTAAATAACATGACAAATCACAGTGTAAGACACCCATAGAAGTTACAGAGAGTGCTGTGAGAATGGCTGGATTTCACAGATGGTTAAAGGGGAGCTATGGTAGAAACGGCCAAATGTGACAGATAATTGGAGGGGACTACTAAGGACCTTTTAGGGAATTCGGTTACGCAAGGCGAACAGCACCAAGGAAACCAAACTAGTAATGCCATATTATGCTGAGATTATCTAGGTAACGATATCAAAAATACCAAGTCCAGGTTGGAATGTAGCAAAACTCAGACCAATGGGGAAAAAGTAATTAGGAGCGAGGTGTTTATCTGGAAGACGACTGGGGTGGCAAAATGGAAGCACACAGACAGCAAAAAGGAGGGTCAGGAAAGGGAAAAAGGAATAATAAGGTACTTAAGGTAAATGATCAGTGCTACCTGGGGGCACTTGTCAAGCAGCCCTAAGTTTGATCTCTGCAATTGGAGCAGGACAACAAACCAAATCTTGTCCCATAAGGGTCAAGCCTGTTTCTGTGGGTCAGGAGGATCCGGGCAGGGGGCAGGCAGGATGTTTTTCCTGCACAGCAGTGAACCAGCTGGTTGGAGCAAGCCAGAGCTTGTGTAAGGCCAAAATAATACCTTGAAGAGCTGAGAACTGTGCAGGCTACTAAAAAACAAAATAAACAAAAAAAACTCTTCATATAGCAACTGCCGTAGTTTAAACAGACCAGCTTTTCATCGTGATGTGTGAATATAAATAGCATTAGAAATTAAATGAAGTTTTCACAGGGAGGAGGAAAATAATACAGGAATAAAAAAAAAACATACAAACCAAAACAAAGGTAAA